GATGATTGCCATATATGCCCCGTGAGGGGTCCCAGGGTCTTTCAAGAGATCCCAAAATCTAGCCTGATTTGGGGTCTCAGTGCCTTTAGTGGGGCCCCAGGGTGGCACAGTGATGGCTGCTTGCCCCATGAGGCCTAACCCTATGGCCGTGTCTGCTGTGGAAATACCCCTATGGCTGTGATAGGCAGACTTCTGGGTCAGAAAGCTCCACCCACCCAAGGCATTGTAGAAGAAGCCAGCTGCTCATTTTTCGTAGCACTTTGTCTGCACCCAGAAAAACCCTGCCCAGTCTGAGATAGGCCCTTTCCCTAAAGAGATACAACGACTGTTTCCAAATGATGGCCCCTTCTGAGCTTCAGAGCTCGTGGCTTCCTCTTCCATTATGAGTGGAGGGAGCAACAACCGCAGGGGCCCAGCCAGCAAGTCTCCCTGCAGGGTTGCGTCGGCAGCTAGAAACAGGTGCAAAGCAGAGGACAGACTGCCTGACACCCCCTTCCCACTGTGGAGCCTAAATGTATTAATGACAGTAAAAACTGCCACTTGTTAAGCACTGTATTGCCAGGCACTGTGCTGAGGCTTTAAGATGTCCCTACTCCAGCACCGTCACCCTGCCAGGTGGCATCACTGTCTATACCCCAGAGTCAAGACAACCCAGGCCACCTAACTCAACTTGTCTGCCCCACCGTATCCCACAAATTCTAGACAGGGATGGACAAGAGGAACATAGACATTGACCTGAACTGTTTCTGAAAAGACCGAATAAAGCCACACAATAGGCCTGCTGAAGACAAGTCCCACTTGGTACTAAGCTCACCTTGTGTGTACTTGAGCCTCTCTGGCCCTGTGTGAGGTTCCTGCAGACAGACAGGGAGAGTAGGTCACCCAGCTGGGTACTAGGTATCCAGAAGACAAAGGAGGCAGCTCTGCTAAGTAGCCGGGGACCATCAATGGCAGACTCTAAAAGCTACATTGGTTAAGCCAGGGATGGGGCATGCACCTGTAGTCCCAGCTATTCCCAATGGTGAGGCAGGAGGATCTTTTCCTCAGGCAGGGTCTCACTATGTAGTTCAGGCTAGCCTTGAACACACTATGTAGCCCAGGGTGGCCTCAAACTCAAAATGTTCCTCCTGCTAGTCTCCCAAGTGGTGGGATTATAGACGTGTGCCACACCTTGCAAGAGGATCCCTTGAGCCCAGGAATTAGGGCTAACCTGGGCAATATAGCATGACCTCATCTCAAAAAATCAAACCAAGAACTGGGGATTTGACTTAGTGATAGACCACCTACCTGCCTATCATATACAAGGCCCTGGATCTGAGCCCCAGCACCACCAAAACACAAGTGCACTTCCTGAGATGCTTCAGGTAGCTAGGGTGGGAGTCCTCCTGGCTTCTACCTATTGCTCTCCAGAGCCCACAGTAATCTTGACAATAAACCCAGTTACCCCAATTACTTGTGGTACTTGAGTGTGTGTCTTTGTTCCTCAAACCCCAGGCCCTGGCACATCCGAGGGCCTGGGTGGCTGACATGTTTTGAGAGTGTGAGGAGTTGTTTTATCACCAGAAAAATCTGCTGAGCCATGGACCTTGCTGGGGCAGCCACCATCAGCAGCCTGTTCCAGCCCTGGCCCATGCTATCTTAGGCAGCTGAACTGCCTCTGTCCTATCTGGGTAGGGGACAAGCCGCTCTGAGGAGTGATACTGCTGGCTGGAGCCCAGGTCTAGAGCCTGCCTGTCCCCTGGAATGCAGGTCGCCAGCCAGCCCAAAGCCAAGTTTGCTCTCAGGGCTTGTGGAGGTGGCTTCCTAACAACCTTCTCCTCCAGACCCCACTTCCCTTCCTTCCTCAGGCCTCAATCACCAGAACACTCATAGAAATGGAGAGTTTAGGCTAGATCGGTAATTTCACGTTTTAGCAGCAAAACTCCTTCTAAGGTATCTTACTCCAAAATTCAATATTCAAGCCTGGTGTGGTGGTGCATGCCTGAAATTCCAGCACTCTGGGAGGCTGAGCCAGGAGGATCATGAGTTGAATCCCAACTTGGACAGTTTAGCAACTTAGTGGGACCCTGTTTCAAAAATACTGTTTTTAATTTAAAAATTAAAAATAAAAATAATTTTAAGGGGGATGCCTGGGGATGTAGCTCAATGCAAAGGGCCTAGGTTAAATCCCCAATAACACCAAAAAAAAAAAAAAATCGGTGTTTTAAAATTTTATTATTTCAAATTTACAAAGTTTATAAAGCATTAAGTAGGAGCTTTGAGGCTGTTGCAATGAACAAAATAGTTGCTGATTTACACCAACCTCTACTTCTAATTACTGTATTTGCCTTTTTTTTTTTTTTTTTTGGTACCAGGGATCAAACTCAGGACCTTCTGCTTGCGAGGTAGGCGGCAGAACCACTGAGCTAAATCCCTGGCCCTTTGCCTTTATTTTTTAGTTGTGTGATATGGAAAAAAATCAGGAAAATCCTGGTCACAGTTAGTTGTTGAAATACCTGTTTTCTAAGCAAACTTTTCAACCTCAAGACAGTGAAAGGAACAGGAGAATTTGGTTTTGTATCAACATATTAGCATATTAGCATTAGTATATTAGTATTAGTATAGTGTCCTACTGGTTTTGGTCTATAAAAATAGCAGTTTTGGGGCCATGGATTTAGCTCAGTGACACTGCACCTGTTTCGCAAGCACAAGGTCCTGAGTTCAATCCCCAGTACCAAAAAAAAAAAAAAAAAGCCAGCAGTTTTGTATAAAATACTTTGGTCAAAAAATAACAGCCAGCATTTATTTGCTGTGTTTGCCCCATGCTGAACACTTGAGAAGGATGATGTCATTTAACCCACATGCTCTGTGTGGTACAGATAAGGACTTAAGAGTAGGCAGGTGACCCGAGCTGGCCTGGGTGGAGTAGGCAAGGCCTGCCCATGCTTGGGCAGCCTGGGGTGGCCCCTCCCGGCTGGTTCCCCACCCTATCCCTCACCCCCTGCCCGGAGAAGAATCCAGCAGTGCCCGCTGGGCCAGGAGCTGTTTGTTTGCTTAGTGAGGTTAACCAAGCCTCTGGAGCAGCCTTGAAGCCTCCAGAAGCCATGCTGGTGAAAGGGGGCTTTGTGCAATGGTGGCGGGTGTGAGGGCCCCAGCCAAGCCAGGCGCTGTGAACCAGCCAACCTGTGTGCCAGGCGTGAGGTGCTGCCCCCACAACAAGGGTTGCCGTAGAAGCAGGCATGTGTTAGCCAGACATCTTCAGCCCCAGCCTTTCCTGCTCTGTGTTTGGCCCATGATCCTATCTACAAGCACAGAGCTACAGCCTCACATGTGTACAACAGAGCCACGGTGGCCAGGGCTGGTGGCAGGGATGATGTGGGAGCCAAGAGACTATATACCATGTGGCCCCCAACCAGGAGCATGGGCACCCCCAGGAACGTGTTAAAAATGCCTAAGCCGGGGCTGGAGATTTAGCTCACTGGTTCCGCCGCCTGCCTCACAAGCACAAGGTCCTGAGTTCGATCCCTGGTACCAAAAAAAAAAAATGCCTAAGCCAGGTATAGCAGTGCAAGAGGTAATATGAGCACTGTGGGACACTGAGCCAGGAGGATTGCTACAAGTTTGAGGCCAGTCTAGGCTACACAGTGAGTTCAAGGACGGCCTCAACTACACAGCAAGACCTTGCCTCAAAAACAATATGGAGTAGGGCTGGGGATTTAGCTCAGTGGTTCCGGCACCTGCTGTGCAAGCGCAAGGTCCCGAGTTCGATCCCTGGTACCAAAAACAAAAACAAAACAATATGGAGTCAAGGCTCTATAATCTGAGACTTAACAGGACCTATAGGTAGTAAAGTTTATATCTGGATGCCTCGTCAAAGTCTCACGCACTCAAAGGTAGGACTTTTGAAAGATGATTGAATTGGGTTATGGAGGTATGACACTGACTTGCTGTTCGAGGGCCGGGTATTGTCGGAAGAGATGGGTCACCAGGGGCGTGACCTGGAGGGGTGCATCTCCCTCCTTGGTCCTCCCTTCGCTCTGCTTCCTGTCTGCTGCGCAGTGAGCAGCTTTCCTCCACCGAGGCCCTGCCACCACACTGCTGACCACGCAGCGACTAAAACCTGGACTGTGAGGCAAAATAAACCTCTTCTCCTTTAAGATACATACAGGTGCCAGGTATTGTGTCCCAACAGCTAGGAAAGTGACTAAGATAGTAGGTGATGATGATCACTGCGAGAACTGAAGAATGAATGCTCTATAATCTAATACAGAAATACTCTGGCCAAGAAAATATGATCAAGTACTTTTAAGTACCTTCCACTCAGCAACTTGGAAACTAAATTCATATGCTAGAGAGTGATGGAGAAAAGACGAAGATTTGTGCACTCATATGGCTCATTCCAAAAACAGAAGTCACTTTGAGGTCTCTATACCCATCATGTAAGTCTAGACTTCAGCAATGTTCAGATGTCACACTGGCCGGTGCTTCAAGTGTACAGAAAATAAGCTAGACTGTACAAACTGCTTTGGAGTTTATACTACATCTTGCATTGCTCTTTGTAGGAACACATTCTTCATGACTTCTCATGTATGCCAAAGACATAAATAATACCTCCAGGTCAAGGATCATGCTTTTCTTCATTTCAATTTTGTTACGGCTAGATGTCCCCACAAAGCCTCATATGGTCATAGGTGGGGCTTTTTCAGAAGTGGCTGGATCTAAAGTGTGTGACGCTGGGATTGATTCATGTTGCAATGCTAGGATTAAGGGCATGGATAAAATATAAGGGACAGAAAGAAGCTTATTTTGGGTCAATTGCTTGCTTTTGCTGTCTTCTGCCTGCCAAGAACTGTTTCTTCTCTGCGATGGCCCCTGCCATGCCACCCTGCCTTGGAGCCAGCTGACTATGAACTGAAACCTTTACAAACTGTGAGCTAAATAAACTTTTCTTCCTTTAACTCTGGGTGTCAGGTATTTTGTCTCAGCAATGAGAAAAGTAACTGAGACATATCTGTACTTACCATGGGTCGCTGTAGAATCAGGAGCAGCAGGGCTGGGGATTTAGCTCAGCGGTTCCGGTGCCTGCCTCGAAAGCACAAGGACCCGAGTTCGATCCCTGGTACCAAAAAAATAAAAAAATAAAAATAAAGAAAATAAAGAAAAAAGGAGCAGCAGGTTTACTATGAACGTTTCACAAGTCAGCTGCATAACTGGCGACGAAAATCCACTGATTGAAGGGTTCTCAGGAACATCTGGAGATTATGCAAATGAATAAAATGGACAACAGTCTGCCAAAAGACAGAGGCAAAGATGGACAGGTGTCTGACTCTGAAGCTGAATGAGGATTCTTGTTATTTGCACACGAAAGGCCTAACCCTTCAGCAACCTCTGCTCCCTCCACACCGGCCCTCCCCAGCTTCTGTTCAGCATCCCTCCCTTGCCCATTCATTCAGAAAGTGTTGCAATCAACAAATGACATGATACCCCAAAGTGTGATGCCTTGCCATGCTCAGTACTTGGAACTAAGTGCTGGGACTGGGGCTGGAGACTGAGGCTAGGGGTAGAGTTCAACGCTACAGTGTATGTGTGCTTTAGCATGTGCAAGGCCTTGGGTTCCATCCCTAGCACCAAATAAGTAAATAAAGAGATTGAAAGAACCTCAGAAATAAGGTCTAACCTACTTTGTCCCATGAAGTGAGCCAGAGAAACCAGACTTTCTCTTCCCCAAAGTGGGTCTTAGAAGCTGTCCTAAAGTGAGCCATAAAATCCAGAAAGGTTGCCGGCCATGGTGGCACATGCCTGTAATCCCAGCACTCTGGGAGGCTAAAGCAAGAAGACTGCAAGCTGATGCCCAGCCTGGGTAACTTAGTGAAATCCTGTCTCACAATGAAAAAGTTAAAAACAGTCGGGGATGTAGCTCAGTGTGAAAGCCCTGGATTCAATCTCCAGTACTGCAAAAACAAAACAAAACATAAACACCTAGAAAAAGGACTCTTCTTTCTCCCTCTTCCTCACTCTACAGGGATCCTCCCCCACATCTAGGAGGACAAAATGTTAAACAATGAGGCCAAGAAGAAGCTAGACAGGTCCTGCTAGGTTTCCTATTCGGTCTATTTCCAATAGACCATACCCTTTTGTCCAATCACATTCATTTCTACACAGCTGTCCTTATTTCATTGGACCTAGGCATAAAAAGAGTTTTTGCCCTGCATCTCTGGGCCTTCGTTTCTTTTCTTTTTCTTTTTCTTTTTCTTTTTTGGTACCAGGGATCGAACTTGGGACCTTGTGCTTTCAAGGCAGGTGGCAAAACCACTGAGCTAAATCCCCAGTCCTCTTTTTTTGTAGGTTTTTTGAGACAGGGTCTCACTAGGTAGTTCAGCTGACCATGAACTCACTGTGGAGCCCAGGCTGGCCTTGAACTCCCATGTCCTGGGATTAGAGGTGTGTGCCACCACCACGCCCAGCTTGGGCCTTCATTTCTGAAGGGTACCATGTCATGTAAAACTTGGATTGCATAAAACTGTTGAGCTTTTCTCTTGTTGAGCTGTCCTGTTACAAATGTGTCATGGTGACTGTTAGGATAGGTGAAGAAAGGTAATCCACCATTCCACCCCTCCAAGCACCTATACTAAATGGTATGGTGGAGACACAGTAAATAATCATTACATACTATATATAATAAGCGCTCAGACAAGGGATAAGATGGGGATCAGGAAGGAAGCCTCTCTGAGGAGGTGAATTTTAGGCTCAGAATGGGAGTCAAGGCAGAGTGTCCAGGTAGCAGAAAGAAGTCCTGAGGCAAGAAAGCGTTTGTCAGATTTGAAGAACAGGAAGGTCACTGAGGCCGGAGCCTGCTGCGTGAGGGGGCAATGAAGAGGAAATGAGGTGTGACATGGACACAGAGCTGCAGTCCTTTGTAGACTGTGGTAGGAGAGTGAGTTCATTATAAGTGTGGTTAGAAAGGACATGCTCCGTGGAGAGTTTGTGTGGCACGATGAAAAATGGACCTCATATTGGGGAGGGAGTTAAGAAAAAAACAGAGATTCAGATACAAAGGGAGACACAGTCATTAGGATGGGTTCCTGGGCAGGAGGCACTGGGAAGGCCCCACAGGTCAGGGGGAGCTGGGTGCATGAATGACAGGGCCCTGAATGCCAGGGAGGAAATGAAACCCTAGCACTTCTCCTCATGGTGGGTTGTTTCCCTTCCAGTGGACCACATCAGGGTCTGGGATTTTCAGCTTCCTGATTCTGGGGCCCCTGCGCAATGGAATTTGGAGGAATAAAGTGTGGGATGTAGTAGTGGTGACCTCTGCCCACTCTGGGTCATGTCATCCTCTGAGCCCCTCTCAGGGGCAGCCCAGAAGCACTTCCACTTGGACAGGTGGGGATGAGTCCCCAAGACAGCACTCTGCTTCCTGTTTACTGCCCCTAGGCCTTTCACCAGGTGTGGGCACTTGAAAGGCAAGGCCTCAGGCAGGCATGGTGGTGCCTGCCTGTAATCCCAGAATTCTGGGAGGCTGAGGCTGGAAGATCACAAGTACAAGTCTAGCCAGGGCAACCTAGGGACTTAGCAAGACCCTGTCTCAAAATACAAAATAAAAAAAAAAAAGGGCAGGCCTTGTGAAAACCCTTGGTTCAATACCTATGTGACTGCCCTTGGTTCAATACCCAGTACTGCAAAAAACCCCCAGAAACCAAAAGTGGGCTGGAGATACAGCTCTGTGGTAGACAGCTCCTGGGTTTGACTCCCCAGCAAAAAAAATGGGGGCCAGGGCCTCCTCTTGCCCACCTCACAAGGCCTTTAGGGGAGTCAGTGACAAAGAGGGGTCTTGCCCTGGTGCTGCAGAATGACACTGGGTACCCTACAGTGGTGGTAGGGCTACGGATGGAAGCTGGGGCCCTGGCCAGCACATGGGGTGAGAGTTATGGATAAGAATCCCACCACATCCCCGGGAAGACCCTGCCCAGAGGAGTGGACAAGAGCAGCCTGGTCCCACCACCGCCAGTCCCCCTTTCCTGTACCTGCCCTGGACCCACCCCTCCTACCCATCCATCACTGGCCTTCCAGCCCTCTGGGACAGACCCACAACCAAACTGCCATTTACACGCAATCTGCTGTGCTTAAGGCTTGACTTACATCATCTCACTCAAGTTTTCTATTTTTATTTGTTTATTTATTTTGAGGCAGATTCTCACTATGTGGCCCAGGCTGGCCTTGAACTGCTGGCCTCAAGCCATCCTCCTGCCTCAGCCTCACATAGCCCAGACTGCAGCCACCCACCAGGGTCTCCCAGCCGGCTGCACTCAGACTTTTTCATTTGTTTGGTAGCAGGGATCGAACTCTGGTCCTTGAGCTTTCACAGCAGGCGCTGGAACCACTGAGCTAAATCCCCGGCCCTGCGCTCCATCTAGATGGCTCTCCTGGAGGAGACCTATTACCCCCAGATCCGAGAGCCAGGCTCCTGTGACTTCCAAAGCAGACCCTGGCTCCCTGAACCTGACAGGGGGGCCTCAGCAAGGTAGGGTTTAAAGACAGGAATCAAAAAGAGGAATCAGAGGCCTACGGATGCTGGGTGTGGGGGGGCACGCCTGTAATCCCAGCACTCTGGGAGGCTGAGGCAGGAGGATGGGAGGTTCAGCCCAGTCTGGGGGAGATTTAGAGACCCTCTCTCTCTCAAAAAAAAAAAAAAAAAAAAAAAAAA